GCAAATATTTTTGTCGTTGCGCGCTACATCGTTCACATCATTCGCCTGTGTGGTTTTTGAAGTGTCTTTATCCATTCCTGTCCAATGCTGGAATTTAGTGGACCGTTCACACCAGCGAAGTATGTGAAAATCATGCGTCACATTTGTCACAGCCTCATGCTTATATATCCACACTTTGATGTTAAACGGTGTGCTCTGGGCTACGAAAACAAAGGTGGCGTACAAATATTAACCAGGAATAAGGTTGATGATAAAAGTGCGTAGGTTGGCATAGAGAACAGTGGTGATGAGAGCTGCAGATTGTGTTGTGGCTTTCATTTCGGAGAATAAGGGACCATTAAGTGTCAGCTAATGCTCTAACAACCTGTGTTTTGTTAACCACAGGACGATGAAACTGAGGAATCCAATGGTGACGTAGCTATATCCGACGACGATGGTTCCGCATTTGGAAATATTCCACACCTTGAAAGTGAAGGGAACAATTCACAATTTTCGGTGTTGTACGAAAAGGAAAACATGCCAGAATACATTGCACCTCAGCGCATTCTTATTTGGCAACCAGCTGACAGTCCCACTGCCAATATCCCCTCTGTGTTCTACTTCTGTGAGCTTATCGGCGATGAGCATTTACAGGTGGATATTCGCTACCTTTACGACATGATGTTCCTCTTGAGCAGGCACTAATTCGCAATTTCACAGATACCACGATCTCTTCCATTTAGCCACCCCATCTGCAGCCACATGAGTCTGACGTTGACTGTGTTGTCCTCGTCGTCCTGTGGCAGTTAGAAAAGTGAATTGGATCTGGATCTGTTATCGCTGTCAAAGAGCATGTAATAGTCACGAGCGAAAGAGTGAATGAATCCGAGTGTGAGATCGCCCAGTCCCATTCTGTGCAATCGTGACGCGTGGCTGTTTTTATTTGCAATGTTTCCCCTACTCCTGACAACTGCATTCCTTAACTGTAAAGGCACAATCGTTAACGACATGTTCCACATTCGTATGCCTGCGAACAAGTTTCAATAGTTTAATCGAGTGACAGCTATTTCTGTGAAGATAGCTGTCACACAACGTCTGAACCTCTGCGTTTTCATTCATCTAAAGCTGAGCTCTTTTTAAAACAATGAAAACTGGTAAGGATTTGAACTTTCTCGGATTTGACTCCTGTTTGATGACAAACTAGAATTGGTTTAGCTTCAATAAAATCGACAATCGAGTGTGTTCTGGCACATTTTGACACAGCTGGTTGAATTTGTGACAGCCAGAGTGATGCCGTGTAAGAACGCTGGTCACCGAAGCTAGACGAGATGATTTCGTC